TCTCCCCCGGATTTGAACTTTCGTCGTGAAATTATTTTACTTGACAGAACTCCAACGTTGTAGTATGAACCACTTCCAGGTGTCTCACGTGAGTGACTTATCTTCAGTTCACGCACAGATAGAGCAAAACTTATCAACTGCTTGAATGCGATAATGGAAGTGAATGTTTGTCCTGATGTTCCATCTGATTCGATTCAGAGCACCACTTCAGTGTTCCGGGTCAAGGGCGTTAGTACGCTCGTACGGGTTCACTCGTAATAACCTCATTTAATGCCGTTAGTCTCGGTGTCCCTGCATGATGGGTGGATGCTGTGACGAGTGTGCACTACAGATGCATGACACATGATCATGTAATCTAATTGTCAGATCATGATATTTCATAAAACGAAAGTATTCGTTCAAAGTGCTTGTGGTGGTTCCTTATCTAACTCCACCGTTACTGGCTTGCACTAGCATTCGACGTCAGGATTATAACTCCATGTAACCACTTCATTTTCTTGGCACACTTTTCCTCATACGGTATCATATCCATGCCAAACTTAGTGGTTTTCGTTGCTGAATCACGTGATTGAACATTAAATCCTGATGAATGCAGTTCATGTTCCACGCGCCGAGGTATCAGCTGTGTCTCTCAGTGAGCATTGTGATCAACTGATTTCACCAATGTGCACTCGTGTGTACTGCCTTGGTCAAATCTGAGCATCCTTTCATCGAAGAGAGATATAGCGCAAACTTTCAGCTGAAATGAAGGTAAAAATACCCCGAGACGAGCTGCTCGGTTTGCGTATGTGTATGCGACCGCAATTGCTGGCTATCATTAGTGACATTATCATGATAAAAAAATACAATTGTACTTAGAAGAGCGTCAGGTTTCTGAATATTGCAGAACAGTGTGAAATGGAACATTCGAATAAACCGCTGTAATAAAAGGTTGTACTGATTTCATGCAATCAGTGACAGAATGCTAGGTAACAGTCTTTTGTAAGTTTGATTGTGAAAATTTGACACTTACAAGGCTTCCACTTGATTTCTCCTGGTGCGATAACACCCCAGATCTAAGAATTTCGTTCTCGCGTTAGCGTTTCCCTCGAACGGCAATCGCTCCCAGCATCGACCATTCCTTTTTTTACCGCGTGAGTAGGGATTATTCCTATAACGAATATGTACGACAGACTAGTGGAAGGTTTGATCTGATATCGACGACTGGAATTTCAAGGAACACTATTTTTTTATTTCGGGACCGTATTGATCGAGTTCTGAAACCGACCCTCAGTTGGAATCAAAACAGATGATTGTTGACAAGTGCCCTGCGCAAAAAAACGCCGAACTATTTCCAAAAAGCGCTTGCTGATTACGCAACATTATGTTGATCAAGAGAGAGTAATTCGATTAATCTACACCAACTACGATGCGACAGGTCTCAATACTGCCGAAGCGATGGAAATTGAGTGCATGCTATAAAACGATTTGTGATCACACAAGCTCTGCTTTGGTGACCTCGTCCCCATGTTTGTGTAACTCATTCACTTACAGAAGAGGCACCTTTCGAAATACAGAGGACTTGAATTATGCATCTTTGCAGAACTTTCTTTTCCATTCAAATTCATCATTTTTCAAGTCGTATACCTTGTCACCCCATTTACTGACGATTTTTTTTCGCCGTCCTAACTTGT